TGGGTTTTTTTAGCTGACTGGGCTATTTACCTTTGTTCTCAGTAAGATCACAACCATATTCTGTGCCCTTCTTATCATATGGCAGTTCTACTTTGTTCGCACTTTCGATCTGTGGCTGCGCACAGACACCCCCCCACAGAACCGCCAGCTATTTACTATACATGCAGAGGATGCAGGGAACTAACAAAGACGATATCCGTTGCAGCCGCCAACACTGAAAACTAGTCATTCCTCTTTAAAGGTAATGTTAAAACTTCACTGCCTATAGCTCATGATCATACACAATAGTTGAGTAAAACATAAGACCTTTCTTCTGACAGTACCAGCATTCAGAGAAAAGAACATGCTTGATGACCTGCTGCAGACTTATTCCAGTCCCTTCTTAGAGTGGATAATTTCATTAAGTGATTATTGCTTACATACCCAATTAAGAAGAGGGAAAATATGGAACAACATGCTTTAAGGGCTTTATAGGTGAAAAAGAAGATCTTGGAGTTAATATGACATATGACAAGCAATTAATCTAACCAGGCAATGGCTAGAATTCTAGCTTATGGTACCTTAAAAAAACAAAAAGCCAACCTACGCAGCAATATTTTTCTACAGACGCTATATTTTGTCAAAATGAAGCAAACTAATTACAAACATTGGCCAGTAATTTTGAAATATAAACCACCTTCTCTGAAGCAAATGTAGGGAATTGAAAACGATGCAGTAAATCTAGCCCAGAACACCCTTCTCAAGATTTTAAATACGGGGCCCTCTGAACCATAAACTAAGAGTTGGGTGACTGAACAGAGCCACGATCAGTAATAGCTCCTTTTCCAGTAACTTGTAAAAATAACCCAGTCAGCTAAGCTTTAGTAAAAACTGGGCAATAATAGGTCTGGAAGAATCAATTAATTTTATTGTTATCTTTTTTTCCTTTTTTTTTAAAAAAAAGCATTATTCATGCCCTAGGATAATATCAGGTGATCTGCTCAAAAGGGTATCTTAAAAATCTATCAACTTCAGCAGTACTTGCTAATTTCTCTAGATGAGTAAAAAGACAATTAAATTATTTTTTCCCCCTACTCTGTGCACTCACAACTCCATTATCCCTTCCTTGATATTTTATCTCTCATAGTACTTTTGTCTTTCCAACTGACTGCTATAACCCCTAACCAGAAGCCTAGGAAACTGTTGTTTACATCTGCTCAGAATCCTTATATAGCAGCTTTACAAAGGATCAATTTAATGAGGATATTGTCTTCCAATTCAGATACAAAAATATTTTTTCTAATTTATTTAGATACTTGCCCAAAACAGTGCACACCACTATCTATATGCAGAAAACCACAGACAATTTTAAATTTCCTTCAGGAAACGTGAGCTTTTTATCTGCTGCGTTCTCAGTTTATAGTAGTAAATTATGAAAAGAAAGGGCACAAGAACTGTAACAGAACTATTGCAATTCATAAAGAAAACTATGTTCTATGATGATAAGTATCACAGCGAGGTATATAATTAAGAGTGGCTATAACAACAACATATAAATTAGATAATTATGGATTAAGCAATCCCTTGGGGGATTCTCTCTTGCCCTAGAAAACGTGTAACAAGCTCCTTAGAAAGAAGGCAATAGCTATTAAGTATTTGAGGGAGAAACGGGACTACATAGAAAAACAAGAACAAAAACAAGAACCCACAGCAAGAGAAGAATCTTAATTTACAATCTAAAGACAGCTCTCATTTTTTGGTAGTTTATTTTAATACACTTACTGGTACAGTTTTCAGCCATTAAATCTGCTGATATCTGTTGGCTAAAAAGCACATGTCAGATTATCAAGAAGTGCAATATCAAATAAACATGAGCTGTTTCTTAAGGTGACAGTAGGGAGATACAAAACACTGCAGCTATTACCAGAAATGTAGTTTTTTGTTGTTGTTGTTTCTTACATCAATTTAATAATCCCAGGTGTCCTGGACACCAGACATACAATAATCTTCATAAATCCTAATTCACAGCCATACCATCTGTCAAAAGTATTTTTTATGTCTCCTAATAGATATGCTACATAATTGCTCTCACAGTAGGACAAATATACATGGTTGCACTAATTTGCTTTACCAATGGAATAGCTCATTATCAAAAATAACACCACCACATTACTGGGGTTTCTAGCACTCTTCATATATCAAAACTAACCTTTCCATTCTGTTACTTTCTATAACCTTAAATTCCCAGTGAAAACAGATAAAGATTGAATTATCTGGAAATTGTACTATAGTAATGGAAAGCTCGCAAGCGTGAAAAAATAAAGCGTAATATCTCTTTCTATTATGATGGTGTTGCAGTTAAAATTAGCAGCTTTGCATTTCAGCATCACAAAGAGACTAATTTAAGTTCTTGGCCCTGCAGAGTGCTAAGTATTTTGGCCCCAATCCAGAAAAGCACTTAAATGTGCCTATGACTTTTTAGTTCATGAGCCTGAAGCAACTTCAGCGGGATCGCACATGTCTGATTAGGCTCAGGACACTCATTACCCTGCCGGACATCGCATCTCCATAGGACTGACTCGGCATCGGGAGATGACCCTCCCAAACCTCCATCCATACTCGCTGAGATGGAGAGGATGCTCCACATGGGACCGTTCAAAGCAGGCCCTGCTGTTCGCACTTTCGGTAGCAGAAGATGAAATGTTTGGACCAAAGTTGGCCTTTGAGAACACCCTTCCTCCAACAAGTTTCTAAATATCTGCAGTTCCTCTAACATGCATGCAACATCAAAACCTCTTAAAATAACGCAGACTGCAGGTATGGCAGTTGTTACAAGAGGTTCTGTTACATGTTGCTATTTGCAGCAAGCTGACCTTGGTGTAAACTTTTATTTGTGCATCAGTTTAAATAACTTATGCAAGATTATACAAAAATATGTACATGAGAATTCAGTAATTGTACAGCAAACAAATCCAACAGTACTTAAGTAAATGGGAAATTCCAAAGATGATGACAGTTACCAAAAGATACTCCAGAAGACACTTACTTAAAAAAATCAATCTCAACCTCATTTCCCTTTTGAATAAGGAAGTGACTCATGAACAAAGTATTACTTCATTCTTCTTTAAATCACATTTCTAAAAGCACTTTCCATGTTCCAAAAAGTCTACGTCTAATAAGTTGTAAAAGAGTTGATATTTAAAAATAAAAGCAAGTTTCCAGCAATTGAAAGATGTAGTTGAAGAACTAAACCCTCTTGTGTTCAACTCTGCATGACAAATATCTGATACCACTTTGCAGCCTAAAAACATCTTTTAACATACTGTACTATGTTTATGAAGTATTCATGTTTTAATGCTAAAAAAAAAATATTATTTCAATGAATGTTCTATGTCTCGATGACATACTGAATATGTAACACGATGCTTTTCCAGTTTCACTAAATTGGTAGAGTTCTCCCACAAATTTTTAAAAATATACTCACCACTGCAAATAGGAATATTGCTTTCCTAATGGCCAGAATTATCTATTTCATTTGCATGATGCTCAGTTACTCTACTCAATTTGGGAAACTGAGAATTCCTTTGAGTAAATGTGAAATACAAATACCAAAATCTAGACTGGAATTAATAACTTAGATACTACTAAATGCTGTATCTCAATTTAACTGATGTTGTCATGAGCTAGTTCATACTTTTAATAGAAAAGTTAAAATAAATCTTTGTTTTATTTTCACTGTGATATCTACTGTTTTGTTTTGAAAATGTTGCTTCTTTCCTCTAACTCATAAACACTTAAAATCTACACAAGTTCCCATTTTCCTGAAATTCAACAGAACTGGACAAACCACTGATGCTACAATAACTGGCAGTTCACAATACCTAGCAAGAACATCACATTAAGGGAAACTATGTCTGTGCAGCAGGTAACCACAACATCAATGCATTACACTGCCGCAAAAGTGCAGGACTTCAGTTGCAAAACACCCTGGCTCAGAAGTCAGACTAAAATTTGTGATTAATGGTAACTAATTCATACTCCCACATTATCGGAAGGCAAACCACTCATTACTTACAATGAATTAAAGATTTATGGATCAGACACAGTTTTCATTTTGAAATTAGAAGGGAGACTACTGATCACACACACATGTTGACCACTCTTAAAGATGCAACGTTATCACACACAACTCTGATATACCAAGGGACTTAGCAATAATAAATATTAAAATGGCACCGAGGAGAGAGACATAGACAGACAGTTCCAAGGCTAAATGTGAGAAAGAGAGACAGAAAGTATAGGTTAAGCAAAAAAAACCCAAACCAACCCACCACAAAAGCACAAAAAGTCCAAGCAAAACATCTCACAGTTATCTTGCAAATATCTAAAACTATATGGCAATGGAAAACAGGCTCATCCTCATTGCAAAAACATTTTCAGAGCAGCTGGAGATGAAAATATGTGTACATCATATGCAGAAATATCCTGAAAAGCCCTCTTTGGTATACATGGATGAAATATTAAATAAAACAGATGAAGAAAAAGAAGTCCAGATTTATAGCCACACAGCACTGAAACGGAACGCAAACACACAATAAAGACAGTGTATCGTATTCACACATTTACAACATGTTACTTATAATGGTAGCTGTGGAAATAAATGACTTACGTAAATGTCTGACATTTTCCATTACTACTCACCACGCTAATGCTTCTATGCAGTTCGTTAACATTCCAGCTACAGTTTCACGCTTGCATGTCTCAAGTATAAAAACAAAATACTCAGCAATACCATACAGCCCAGCCTTCTTACTCTTTCTTTTTCAAATCAGTATCAGTGGCCTTGATAATATTGCCATCTAGTTACTAGCAATGCTTCTTTTATGACAGATGACAGTGAAGGTTGAGTAGGCACTCAGTCTATGGAAGATGTGAATGTGCTGAAACTGTCTCCTGCAAGAC